TTTAAGGCTCATTTGTAGCTCGCTATAAACACAGGTGCACTACAAATATGACTATATATTATCAAAATACCTGGTTTATGAACACGTATATTAAGTCCAGAATCTTTGTTGCAAACTATGAATAATGCATATTTATGTCTCAAAAAGTAATCATACTTAAAATAACTAATAACAATTATAGCAGGTAAATGTCTTACCAGGCAGACAAAAGCATGACATTTTCTATTCACTATAAAGTCACTAATCATGCATAAAAACTGATTTAAAGATTCTTTATTTCCATCTTCACTAGCAGACGACACAATGCAAAGCAGAGATTTCATCAGACTCTCGATGTGGTTCACTAAACATATAGCCATAAGTTAAGAAAATGTATATCACATTAAACAAAATATTTTTTAACATATATTTTTTGTGAACTAGAAATAAATTTCATACATAACATCACAAATTTCAGACATTTAGTAAATTAAACATTTTAAAGACATTTAATTTTTTAAATCATGCAATATAGAATTTTAAGATTTATGATATTCTTTCTTGTGTTCTGATATTAAAAAACTTTTTCTTAAATCTTTTACTTTATTTTATTTTTTCCGAAAATGAGGGAAGGAGAGGGGAGTTTTCAAATAAATAAAAGGGCTCATTTCATAGACTATTATACTGAATTTTTAAAAAGACCTCCACTCCAAAAAATAAATAAATAAATAAATAAATAAAAATTAAGTTAAAAATTGGAAAACTGTTATTTTCTTTGTTAATCAAACAATTTAAAAATGTTGTAAAGGATGCTCTTTTGTAATATGCAGTAACCCACTTTGAACAGTAATATGTGATAAAAATATGGGTCTTAGATATGTAATATGCGATATACCGGGTGGCCATAATTAAACTGACAGTTCTCACAGTGTTCTGTAGCACGATCTATTTGCGAGAATGACGCCCCATTTTGTAGGAAGATTAAACAAGACAGGGGACGAAGGATTCCGTGAAAAAACAAATTAGTTCCAAAAGTCACCGCTAGGGGAATATTTGGCGCTGTGCAATAGAAAATAGAGTGTTAACAAATGCAAATCAATACGGAAATTACCTTTTATTTTGCATTCAAATGAGGTTCAATGTAACTGCTGTTGTTGTGGACCACATATTGCATTCTGTGCACAGTATGCACAACAGCAGAAAGTAACATGTCTGCAGGAATCTCCCGTACAGTCCGTGATATGTTATCCTTCAATGTAGCCAGGTCCTGGACCACTCCTTGATAGACCTTGGACTTAAGGTAACCCCATAACCAGAAGTCACATGAGGTAAGATCAGGCGACCAAGATGGCCATGCAGTTGGAAAGTAGCGGCTAATGACTCTCTCTGTTGTGAATTTCTATCGTAGCATCTGTTGCACCCGTACTGCAACATGTGGAAGGGCTCCATCTTGCATGAAAATGATTTACCCCAGGCACTGTCATTGCTGAAGTGCCGGAATGACAAAGCTGTTCAACATATGGCGATATTTCTCTCCGGTTACAGAACAGGTTTCTGGTGTCCTGTCGGGGTAATGTTCTCACAGAAGAATGGACCTACGATAAATTCCGCTGTGAACCCACACCAAACAGTTACCTTTGGTAAATGTAAGGGAATTGCTGTGACTACATGTGGTGGTCATCCCAAATTCGGCAGTTCTGGGTATTCACAGTTCCATTCAGGTAAAAGTGGGCCTCGTCTCCCCATAAGATTTTTCACGGCCAAGCATCATCCATTTCCATTCTGGCAAGAAAGGTGAGAGCAAAAGTCAATCGCTTATCATGGTCGTGGTACAGTAACTCCTGTACACGGCTGATCTCGTACGGATAAAAGTTGGATAATCTTTCGTAAGACTTTCCATACCGTACTGTAAAGCATATCCATATTCCGAGCTACTCCACGAGTACTAGAGGTGGCAGCAATATTGTTCTGGTCCTCTGTCGACAATCGTCGTGGCAGCTGCTTCGATTGTATCCTGTGGTACAAGGTATTTCGTCCTCTGCCTGACTGAACCTTCAGAGAACCTGTTTTCTCTAACATGTCGCAACCATTGCTTTTAGCCAATTAACTGTCACAGGGCCGTTACCTTTATGCAATTTTTTGTGCGAGTTTCTAAAAGCACGAAGAGCGGCTGACGCGTTGGCACTGGATTCAGGTAAAAGAATTTGACCAGTAACGCACGCTCAACTAAAGAAGGAAGACATTGCACATAAACTTTCAATCCGATTGATTTCGAAGACGTAACACATTGCCTTTTAAAAAACCCAAGCAGCTAGCACTGTGCGAATGGATGTAACGTGAAGTTTGAATAAAGAACTTCTTCTGCTCAGCGTACGTGATATTGCAGATCACGAGACTTTTATCGGTGTTTATGTAGATTTTACGCTTTTTTAAAAGTGTTACCATATTGCGCTTGAACTAAATCAGAAAATGTGTATAATAAAAGGTAATTTTATTCCGTATTAATTTGCATTTGTCAACACTCTATTTTCTATTACACAGTGCCAAATATTCCCCTGGCGGTGGCTTTTGGAACTAATTTGTTTTTTCGCGGAATCCTTCGTCCCCCGTCTTGTTTAATCTTCCTACAAAATGTGGCATCATTCTTGCAAATAGATCATGCTACAGAACACTGTGAGCACTGTCAGTTTAATTATGGCCACCCGGTATATATATAATATACAGTAATATGTGATAAAAATATGGGTCTTAGACATGCACGCACACACACACACACACAAAAAAAAAAAAAAAAAAAAAAAACTGTGCATTGACCAGATATTGGTTCTGTCTAATTAATGATTACTAAAACATTATTACGTCAAGCAGTTTGGTATTCTGCAAGTGCTCTAATTTATTGCAGTTCTAAAAACTAGCAAAAGTCATTGTAGCATCATATGCTAATGAATTAGAAGTTACACATTAACAGGTGAAAATTAAGTAGTCAATATTTATCAGTTAAAAAAAAAAAAAAAAGTATCTGCTCTTTTGTGTGATAAGGTGAGCCTGACTGTTGCAAGCATGCTCTTAAGGGGGGGACTACATGAACTGGAAGCTAGTTTTTAATTTCCCATCTTTGATTCATTATGTCTGTTACTCCTCAGATAATGTTTTAACAAAAATGCTTTTAAATGAACCGGGACGAAGGAAAAGCCTTTCTAAGAGTTTCTTAATTTTATAGAAACAGATTTTTAAACATGAGGAATAAATTCAGTTATTGTGCACTAGGAAAAATAAGTAAGTATCAGGCACTTTTTTTTAAATCTAAAAATAATGAATCAAGTTATGATACTTCAAACTTGGCAATTCAAAAGATATTCACTTTTTTGATAACATATTTATTAAAATTTTATAGATTAAATATTTTATAAATCCTTATTCAATTACATAACTAAATTGTTAACTTTCCATACACTATGAGAGTAAAAAATAGCAAACTGCATGACTAACATACCCAGAATGGTAAAATAAGTGATATAAAAATATGCAGTCACACACAGTTAATAAATTGTTTTAATGACAAATGCAAAAATAAATCAAGTTATATGTTTATGATACACAAAACATAAATGAGCAGCTGATGAATTAATTAAAGTACTGTATCTCTTAACTGCTAGTAATGCAACACACTTGACCATTATGCACATAGGTAATTTAATTTCCAAAAACATTTCACCACTCCATTGCAAAGGCCCATTCCAGCAGCTGCACAATACCTGAAGTTAAATCATGAGGAACAAGATATCTAGTGGGTACTGTTTATGGGATTCAGATACATGCATGCACTTTATAGAAATATTCATTTATGCCAAACTCAAAAGAAAATAATTAAAAAAAAATTATTATACTGTTTCAGCTATAACATCCTTCAATCTAGATCAGGGCCTCAACAACCTATGCTGCAGGTCACCAAGTGACCAATTTCATAGTTTCAAATGACCCACTTGAGTTCCAAAAATGAATATATAAAAATAAATTATAAAACATAAATATGAAATGAACACTTGAATAATACATAAAAAAATAAACTGAAAATTAATAATAATAACAACATTTTTGTTTGATTAGAAAGTCGCAGTAACAAACAGGCATTTTTGCTTTTGATAAATGAAAATTATAATTTTAAGGAGAAATCGATAAGTTAGGCAACACCAATCCATAATCCTAAAAAAAAAAAAAAAAAAAATCCTTGACATTTGTCCACATTTTTTTTTTAAATAAAAATTGTAATAATTTCAAAGAGAAATTGATAAATTCCAATCCAATCATACAATGGCTCTGCCATTTTGTCTTGCATTCGATTCAGCTTATAAACGCGAGCAAATATTTTCAGACATGACATCTTCTTAGGTAAGAACAAGAGCAGCTTAACAACTGAAAATTCAGATGCTAGTATTCATCTTAAGATGATTAACCATAAGCCACACTTGACTAAATTGAAGCACGAGTTCCCATCAGAGTAGCTAGTGTTATTGAAGAGAAAAATGTAGTTAATTCAGTTATGTGTGTGTGTGTGTGTAATTATGGCAAAGCCCTCGAGGGCTATCTGCCTAAGAGGAGGGATGCCTTCGTGGAGGACTTTCTAATGGAAACTGGCTCGTATACACGTTACACATGGGGAAAACCACGAAACGCCCATGCAGCCAGCCCGTTCGCGGGATTCGAACCTCGGACCGAACTACCAGTGTTCAGCGACTTTACTGCTCGGCCGCTGGTGAGCCTTAATTCAGTTATGTTTGTTTTTATAATAACTATAATTTGAATATTTAAAGATTATAGGGTATTTTAATCATTTTCTCAATAAAACTTATCTTATTATTCATCATGAAAGACTGTTCTAAAATGAAAATACCACTGACAAAAACATCTTCTTAATACCCATATTTTAGTTGATTTTGACCCACAGCCAAAAAAGGTTGCTGAAGCCTGATCTAGATAATCCAAAGCCTATTTGCTACTTGCAGAATAAAAATGTGCTATAAAAATAATACAAAATGCATTGGTCTATAAGAATATAAAAGTCCACCAAAGTTAATACCAATTCTAACTGTCAACTAAGAGGAACAAGCTTAACCACTTTTAAATCTCAATTTTGATGGAATGATTATTAGCATGGGGAAATCCTAAAGTTTGAATGCCTCAAATCTTTTATATAATAACAACAGAAAAACCTTTTGCTTAATATCAATGCACAATTTGAAACTGTCTTTAAAGAAAGAAAAGCAAATTTAAAAACACAGTTTACAGTTTTTAAATCTACACCTATAATTATTAAGAAAATACAACTGACATTTAAAAAATATTTCTAGCTTTTGAATCATAAGGTTCATTTCTCATGATGATTTTAAGGAACAATTGAATAATAATCGAGTTTTTCTACATTTTAAAACAATCTTTATAATTCAAAGCAAATGCAGGCAGTACAAAATTATTTTTAAGAGCTATTACATATAAATATGAAACACTAAATTCTGTCTTAAAAAAAAAAAAAAAAAAAAAAAAAAAAGAGAGAGAGAGAAAATATGCACTAAAGGTTGCTATGAAACGATTCTGGTATAATCTAGGTTTACTCTTAAAATTCAACCCCCCTTTTTTGAATAAACATTTCAATGGACTCTAAACTTCATTGAAGCATATTTACTTTCAGCATTACAGAACTATTAAATCTCCAATTTGCTAGTGATAATCATTTATTGCTATCGTTGAAGCTGATATTCAAAATCCTTTTCACCATCATCAAATACTTTTTGTCTCTGAAGTCTATTCTTTAATTAAAAATGAAGATTTAGGAAACTCAAAGCATTTTGGCTACAAATGCTTTGATCTATTCAACTTTAAACTAATTAACAGCTCTACACCCTGTGAAATTTTCCTCACATTCTAAACATTTTATTTTAGTAGAATGTCTACACTCTGCATGTTTTGTATATAATTGAATAATAACCAAATTATTATTGTACAAAATTTATGATTATTTAGGTTGCCTATACACCAGATTTTAATTTTGTAACATGTATTGCTATTAATACAATGCAAACTTGGATGAAATAATGCCTCACTTCACAAACAAATTATTCGAACAAAAGAATGCCTCGGGTGATGAACAGTGTTTCAAGTTACAGTGTTTTGTTTATAAATATTCAGATTGGCAACATATAATTTCAAAAGGTGTTTTGAGGTAACTTGCGATACATAATTAATACTCTGTGCTTTCTCCAAATATCATTTAAATATCTTCCACTACTTAGCTCTCATTAACAAAGCATGGCAGCAATGACCTTTAGGGCCTGGAGAAAATTATAACTAGATTGAATTGCAAGCAGACATTCTGAGTGTTTTGACAATTAAGACCTGTGATATGGTTACTCTAGGCATTCAGAAGAAGAAAGAGAAATGACCCTAGTTTTCTGATTTGCAAAATGGAATAAGATGCAAAGTTTTCATGCAATAATATCCTCTAATAAAGCAGTAGCAAACTAAAGCAAAAGTCTTTTGAATTACAATGCACTATCTCACTTTAAAAACAATTTAAGATGCATGCAACAATAAATTACATTCGACAAATTTTGAGTAAAACAGAGGCCTAGTGAGTCTCAAAGAAAAAATAAAACAACACACTGTCTAAAGATTACTGCACTAAGTGCCTACAGACACTAACTGCTGTTTTTTATGGAAGGAAATTTTGCATCCAAACAATAACAACTACCTCATAATTTTCCACTTAGGAAGTCTCTTTTGTACAAACAGAGTAAAATTAAAATTAAGTTTTAGATTATCTGTTTAATATTTTGTTTATCTTTTTATATTTAATGATTTCCAACAGTTTGAGGTTAAGAACTTGTACACAAAGTACTGTTATAAAGCTTGAATAAGCAATCATCTATGGTTCAGGAAAAAATTTGTCCATTTCACATCAATTCCTATGGATAAAAACGCTTTAATTTATGGTTAAGTAGATGAATAGCTTTCATGAACAGATTAATTTTTTGATCTGAAGTTTCATTGCATATTAAACTACTTATTCTTTATGTTCATAACACAGCTTTAAATTTATAAAAGTATAAATGCTAAATTTAGCTTGATTTCATTATTCAGAATAAGAGCATTTTAAATTCAAACTGAGCAAAATTAAAATTCTTAAAATTTTTTTGTTTAGTACTAAATAAAAGTACTAAGAGCTTACCATATGAATCAAATGGAAAATTAATAGAATTCTATTACAAGACTTCCAAATTACTTTTACTTTTTCAAATATATTTTCAAAAATTTAAATTATGTTATGGAATTAATTTAGTTTTGAAATTTTAAATGCCATCCATAATGCAGAAGATAAGTTTTAATTGAAGAACAAATTTATTTTCAAACAAGAAATATAAAGCATTTTTTTAAAATTTGTACATATCAACAGAATGTCAAACTTACTTAAGTCTTTGACATTACCAAAAAATTCAACTACTATTTGGACAACATAAATAATTTCCTTGAAATGCCGCATTATTACTTTGGGATCCAATGGAATTTGCAAAGAATCTAAAAAGTGCATAAACATATAAAACAACAATAAGCACCATGAAATTCCCAACAACACTAGAACAAATAGCATATATTCATTCAATAATTAAATAATTACTCACATATCTAGGATAATTAAAACATTTGAGACTGATTCTTTTATTCAAAATCAGATGGATTTACGGCTTTGTACTTTTGTTTTAATCTTGAATTCTTTGCCTTGAATTTCAGTTTTGACAGCATTTTAAAGTGATACAAAAGGATGCAGTAAAGTGCCTCATGACATTCTTTGTAACAGCTTGATTTCAGAGAGTTCTGCTAATGTCACAACTACAACATGCATTTGAGAAATGCCCAACAAAACCAATGTTTTCTACCTCATAGTTTCATAAAAATGGTTTTTAAGGCATTAAAGTCACTGTTCTCTGTCTGTGTTAAATAGAAAAAAATTAAGTTTATGTTTTTAATTCTTTTAACTTTAAACTTAAACTGATGGTTGTGCCGGATAAAATTAACAAACAAATCATCAAATATCAAATAATTCAAAACATTCAAAATCTATTTCATAATAATCAAAAGATGAATCAAATAAACAATCGTATATCATAACTATCGATCTATCGTATGGTGGTAGTACAATTTAACGTTTAAGGTTTGTGTTGTGAGTAACCTATGTAAAAGGAAATATCAATAACTCCAAATTCAATTAAACTCCATGTTTCTTAAAAGCTTCCCGGCTCAAACGAATGGAGGGACATGACAGACCACAGTAAATTATACGCTACATAAATACACAAATGCAATTAAATTTTAAACACACATTTATTAAATTCTTGAATATATTATATAATTAAATAATGGATAACTGATCAGTATCCTACAACATATTTTACTCTGAAAAGTAACACATAATGTCACACAACGCATTTACAGCTTACAAAAATTAATATACCTTAAGACGGAAAATAACACATATCTCATTCCAAAATTAACATACTCATATTAATTTGTAAGTTTACTATTTTTGACGTTCAATAGCTCACTAATTAAGCCGGTAAAACAAATCTTTAAAACCTTCCTTTACAGACTTTAAATTAATTAGTCATTATTCAAAATATTCTAATCATTTAGTAGTTACATATATAAAATAAATAATTTCCGTTTAAGTAATTTGAAAAGATAGAGAGGTAGACAAATTTAAAAATCACTCACAGATGGAAAACAGTTTTTCTGGATTGAAGAATCTTTAGTGTCCAATCCACTTGGAAATGAGCTAAAACAATTTTTTTTTTTTTTTCAAAACACTTTCAGAAGCGTCCATTGATTCAGGAACCGCCTTAAATATGTCCATTAAGTGAGAGACAATTTCCGAAAGAAAAGATCTTTAGTGTCCAATCTTTTTTCTGTCAAAACACTTTCAGAAGCGTCCATTGATCTCAGGAACAAGGGAAGCATGATAACCTTCTTCTGGAACAAATCTGTATCTCATGACAAATTTTTCAACTGGAATGTCTCAAACATGACTATTCAAGTTCTCCAAAATACACGATGAAGCGGGCGAAACTAAATTTGGGTGGTATAGAGCACTTTTGGCACAAACTTCTTAGTTGTAACCAATATCTCCTGTCTATGACGAACAATTCTAACTGGAAAGCCTCTAACATGACAATTCAAAGATCACAAAATACACAATGAAACGGTAAAATCAAATTGTGCGTAGAGCACCTTCTCCGTGCAAACAAATTCTCATCAGCGGGAAAGCGGTGAGAAACCTCGCCTCAGACCGAGTCGCAAGCCCCCCGCAGGAGGTAAAGCCTCACCGAACTTTTTCTTTTACTGCCTTACATCTTCGCAACTCAAATGTCTCCAAATCCGACGCAATAGCTGGCACCCGCGAGAGCAAGACCCGCAAGGGGTCAAGCCCCCACTCCTCTTCTTACTCTTAGCTTGAAAGAATCAGGAAACAGAATGATCTCTAGCCTGGTGCAAGCACCCAGGAAAACTCGGTTTCTCCGCCTCTGTGAGTTCATAGGCTTTCAAAAAAATTATAAAATTAAATCTTACCAATGCCGGAATTTTATGTTATCTAAATTGAGAAAAATGACACACCCATGACGAATCAAACACCAGCAAATCTGACAATGCAATCTGAAAAACATCTGCACTCACAACATGAGAAAAAAAATAGACCCCCAACTAACAAGCGAAACTAGCTTTTACGAGCATCCAATTATCTAACCTAGTACACCTCCCACTTGAAGTAAGAAATCTGCAAACTTTAAACAAAGCGACGGGAAAACAACTTCCGTTTCACACGCATTAGCTAAAAGGGCGACATTGTTAGTGAAAAGGCCATAAACCAGATGTATGTCCTCGCAACCGTCTCTCGCCTTTGTTACAATTCCTACTCAAGAACAACAAGTTAAATAAAACCTTAAGAGCCTAAGAATACTTTTTTTTTTCCCCGATTAAAATACACATGAATACAAATAAAAATATTAGAATAATGACTTGAAACACATATTAATAATTGAAATTCGCGACATAACATCTGTCTATTTATGTTTTTATCGATATAACCTGCCAGAAAGTGTTTTGTCAATCACTTGCATGTTCTTCAACCAATGACCTCACTATGATCAGCTCCTCTGCAGATGATCAGAATTTTTGAAACCATAAACAAACATTTGTATATGATATTACTTCTCTATGACAACCATCTCCACAAAAGATCGAAATTGTCCGAACTGTGGGTAGTCATCTCACAGAAGGTTTAATGCATTATATATCTAATAGAGAGCCCAACCTTATTTTTTTAAGTAATGTATCATTATTTAATGTAAGATCTAATGTAATATTGTTAGCAAAATAAAGGCCATATCTAAAATTTAAAAAAAATAATAATAATTCTCACTAGACGAAAAAAACGGAAATAGATTTATAAGTGTTTGTCAGCCAAATGGAAAACATTTTGCCATTCTTATTCCCTACTTTTTGCCATTTATAACAGACCAGCAACAAGTACCACTTTTTGGAAAAAGTTGGCTATCACTATTCTCAATTGACTGGTACCACAGTTTTGAAATGGGCACTTTTTAACATCTAACTTAATGACTGTCACAGTGTCAAAGTGTTCTGATATTTTCCAGTATGGGCCTACCAGTGGCTGAGCAGTAAAGTCAATGAACACTGGTAGTTCGGTCCGAGGTTTGAATCCCGCGAACGGGCTGGCTGCATGGGCGTTTTCGTGGTTCCCCCCTTGTGCAATGTGTATACGAGCCAGTTTTCCTTAGAAAGTCCTCCACGAAGGCATCCCTTTCCTTAGAGAGATAGCCCTCGAGGCTTTGCCATAATCACACACACACATACCTTTTCCAGTATGAAATGCCTGTGGTTGATTTATCAGCAAAACTGGCCTTAATATTTTTTACCAAGCTAATTCCAGAAACCAAACTCCAAATTGGATATTTTATATATATAAAACACAGTGTGTATATATATATGTGTGTGTGTGTGTGTGTTTAAGATAAAAAATATGAAAGCAAACTTCTAAATTTAATTCACTATGACCTCTTTTATTTTTTATTTTATTTGGGAACTTCATCTATCTGTCCTAAAAATAGCACCGTAAGTCTAAACTGCTGTAAACCGAAACTAAAAACTGAAACTTTTGACTCCCTCTCTTCTTTCTATGAAGTGGTGCATCTCTTTTGCTTATGCTTTCTTCTTGGCCAGACGTCTTTCTGCAATCGTGTGTGCTGCTACTTTCGCTTCTATAGCAAAAATATCAAAATTGTAAATGTTTTTTTAATAGACACGAGTAGAATGCCAAGTGAATTGTGGCCACAAAATGAGAATTTAAATAAATAAAAGGAATTAAATCCGACTCGACTGCTTCTTGTTCAAAATGGACGGACTCTCTAAGCATCAAGTATCTACACAATTAGTATTTCTATGCATCTATGTCTCAGTGTTCTTATTTCAGTGCCTCCAAAAGTCATTACATTCTTTGGCCAGTTCTAATTATGAAAAATTCTCTACCAGTTTGTTAAGCCATGTTCAAAGTGAATCATGGGAAAAGTCCTGTTTCATCGGAAATTTTAATGCAAGTTTGTACCGCATTCACGATCAAATCATTCATGTTGTCAGTTTCATTACATAGACAATATACTGATTGACATTGCACTGATGTTTGGCCACTTGGACATGATCACACTTTTTAACTCTAAGTGATTGAGGGTGGCAGCATTTGTAAATAATAACTGTGATGCACCAATGTTACCACACTTACATGTCATCTTACTAGATTTAAACTGATCATCAAAAATCTGGAAACTTAAGAAATCTAGAATTGCTAAAATCCCAGCAATACTGGATCTTGGACTTCGTATATATATGAATAACTATGTACTTTTATGTACTTGCCATGAGATTTGCTTTCACACTGCCAAATTTAGATTTCTTAATCTCAATTTACACCACTAATAGAAACAGCAAAATAACATAATTATACGGAAAAGATATCAAAACAGAATTAAAAAAGAAAAATAGCAAATTTGAATCTATCATATAAATAATATTTTCAAAAACAGAACATTTTTGCTATTGCATATATTAATAATATACTTCATAATTTTGAGTGGATGAATTCAAATGCAAAGAAAAGTTACTTCTAACAGTGCTCAACTTCAGTCTCAACTACATAGCTCACAGAAATTTCAGATATGATGAAATCCTTTTTACCATACAAGATTTAATATACTGCAAATATACTGCTATCACAGGAAAGTCACAGGAATCACAGGATTTTAGAAATGATGCACAGGATTGGCAAGTTTCTTTTATGGTGGAAAAAATAGACTGAAAATGCTAATTTTTTACTTATTTAATAATAATATTGTTGCGTTTTTCTAATTTCTGACACCAGTTGTGATGTTATTTTCTTCCTTCATGTTCGTACGGGGTTCATAGATTTGGAGTGAATAACGACGACACTTGATGAAGTATCGAAAAACACTTTATTTACCAATATTGTGTCAGGACAGCTCCAAAACACGTTTTTACAGTCGTCGATGAGCTACTATAGACACGATGACACGTTCAGCGACACAGCCTTCACTCTGTCAGGCAATAACGATGGAGATAGCTTCCTGCAAAGCACCCGACTCTGCTTGGTCATTCTCGGAACTCCACGTATTCTCGAGACTCTCCAAGCTAGAACACGCGATGCACTCGACGACACACAAGCACAGCTCCCGACTCTTCAGCTCAGTCGTTTCTTGACGATGCACTAACCGCGATACACTAAGAGACTCTTTCGATGCACTCGACGACCCACTCAGCACTTGCTCGACTGACTTGACTGCGAACCAGCACGGTTTATATACCTTTCGGCTTGTGTTCAAGAACATTCTGGGCTAAACCGGTAAGAATTCGTTCCAGAAGGTTCTCCAACTGTCCATGGTATATCGCCAATTTTGTTGCCAAATAGGCGATTTCTCGCCAAATGTAACAACGCTGCCTTCCCTTGCTGTTTTATGGCAACCTTAAAACTGCTTTGTGGGGAAGCCATCTCACGGTGCCTTGACATTTCGTAACAATATAATCACACTAATATTTTATTCGTATATTACATAACTACATAATCAACCAATCTAAATGTTTCCATTATGTGGACAAAGAAAAGAAATGAAATATTGTTTAAATCACTGAAACATTCCTAAAAACTAATATTTGATTAAAAAAATTAATTTATCTACAAAATTATAATTTCTAATGACCGTTTTCTTATTGGGTCAACATAATCGAAAAAAAGAAAAAGAAATCAGTGAAATACTACAGCAATAAATGAATGAGAATTCTATCACACTTTTCACTGGATTTTTTGGAGAAAATTAACTACTTCGAATTTCACTGAAGAAATAATAAAATTTATTTTCAAATAAATTACATTATTAATAACAAATGTATCCTCTATAGCAGCCCCACAGTTGCATCAGTGCTAATTTCTACCCTGAAAGAAGCCCAAACTTGCTTTCAACAATATCCATTGTATTAATCAAAGCAGGCCAAATATTTTACCACTATAGCCACTCATATTGCATTGGCACTACTCCAATCATGTGGCAAGGCATACAGGTTATGAAAAGCAGATTTCTTCTTGAATTGCTTTGCAAACTACTTTATAACCTACAAAATGAAAATGGCAGAATGAAAAAAAATTTTTCAAGATGAATTTGCTGATTCTTTGCTGGAGACTCTTAGCAGCTTTGAAGATGACAAAAAAAGATTCTTCTCTACATGTTTAATACAAAGCCACTATGGAGGAAACTTTTCCATGTAAGCAAGAACTAATTTAAGGGTGAATTAAGTGATTCAGAAGGAAGTTATAAAGATACTGAGTTCAACATCAATCAAATACATGGAAAAGGCTTTAGAATAGTTTAAAATAGCAACTTTTGAAAAAAAAAAAAAAAAAAACATCTGAAACAGGCAGGCATAAAAATAAATAAATAAAAATAAAAACCTAATAAAACAAATATGTTTTATGTGCATAATTGGCAAAAACCCTTTACATATATGGAAGTTTTGACATTACCATTCAAAAATATGCTCAACAGGTATGTATAAATTTAGATAAATGTAATGAAATTTTAGAACTAAAGGTAAGTTTTTTACCTAAATATACAATAAAAATTGTTTCTAGTAATTTGTTAGTAGAAAAGCCTTACCCCAACTTAATGTTTCTGGTACAACAACAAGGTTTGCATGATGTTAACATATATTATGCACAGAAATTTTCACACACTCTTTTAATAACTTTCATGGGTAAATTTATCACACATCATTGATATTACACTGATTAACAAAATTAAGAGATGGAACATTTTCCCCAAATATCTCAAGAAATACTAGATAGAAATAAATGAAATTAAGTATAGCTATTGCTTATTGTATAATAATAATGTATGCAAAACAACAATGAAAATGCCATTCATTAGCATGCCCAAGAGTCCAATGTTGTCCAAACTTGAGATTGAAAGACAGCAGTGAAAATGTGGCTAGTAGGGCATGCAGTAGCCTCTGACAAACAGACAACATGTAGAATGAGTAACCATGCTTTTGAGAGTTCAGGAGTGGCTGCGGAATTCGCACCCAACTCCTCCACCAGAATAGTTTTTAACTGGTTCTGGGTGGGGGTTGGCATTTCACAATAGTCCTCCCCAAGATCATCCCGAGAATGCTAAATAGGATTAAGGGCAGAAGATTTGGCTGAACAATATATTCAGTGAATATCCTCGCTTTCCAGATACTGATAAACCAGGTGGGCCTTATGTGGTTGTGCAATGTAATCCATAAAAATGAACTTAGGCCCAACAGCACCCCTGAAAATTCGCACATAGAGTTCTAGGATCTCCTGCCTGTACCTCTGGGCATTCATGGAATAAGTACCAAACAGATGGACCACTGCGGGTACCTTGCATGATCCTTATCCAGACCATCAACTCTCTCTACCACCATAATGGTCCCTTTCCTGATGTTGCTGGGATGGTATCGGGTTTCAGATTCCCTCCACATCAATAATCGCTGAGAATCAGGTTGCAGACTGAATACGGACTCATTCATGAAGATAACATTAGCTCACTGAAGCTGTATCCAGTTTTGGTGTTGTATGCATCATTGTAAATGCTCTCTTTTCGGGAGGGAGTCAGTGGGATGCAAATAATGGGCTTTCTGGCATAGAGCTCTGTCTCATGGAGCCTTCTGGCAAATGTCTTCCTTGAAACTGATGCTCCTGTGGAGTAACTAGGTCACAAGACAGTTGTGTGGTTGTAGACATCCTCTGGTGCTTGGCTGAAAGTACCAAATACTGGTCGTCATTAGTCGTTGTAGATCACGGATGAGCTTGCCCTAGTCTTATGGACACTGTCTTGCTGTTTTTAAACTGATTCCACAAATTAGAGATGACACTTGGTGTTATATCCAGTTCTCTTGCAACCTGAGCTTGGGACTGCCCTGCCTCAAAACCTAGCTCCCCGATTCTCCATGTCATACCTTTGTCTATGCAATGATGTGTACTCATTTCACATAAAAACAGCAAGATTATTCAAAAAAGATAATAAAAATCACTATTGTGCTGCTGAGCGGAATGAGCTAAGCAGCCGGATGCGGACTTTTATACTTCCTGCTGGCCTAGCGGTGCCTGCCAGGAACACATAAACTCATCTAAGCGACAACAACGTCACAAAGACATTATAAGGTAACCAACTGTCCAGGATTTGTCTAGTATTTTAGGAACAATTTTGGAAAATGTTTTCCATCTCTTAATTTTGTTTACCAGTGTATATGGATACATAAAAGACGACAAAATAAATGAAATACAAAGTAATACTCACAGTAAGGAATAGAAGTAACTTTTTTTGGACTAGACAGCTTATTAAATGCTGAATTTTCAGGTTGTTCCAATAACCGAAGAAGTATATATAATCCTCTCTTGATTAATGAATTGTGAACTAAAAGAAATGGGTAGGACAGGATTCAATATAATGCCAAGAAACTTCAGAAAAGATAAATTTTAAGACACTTGATATTTCTTTTTAAAAATTCATTAATTAATATTCGTAACTTCTACAATCGCTCAAAATCTGGCTTAATGATCCGTTCTTACATAACTTAATTTTTAGCATTACAAACATTTACAACCAAATCTTTAAGCTTTAATGTAATGTTATGTCATCATATTACTTGAGTATTGTAATAATTGGGAAATAAACGGAAGATCTTATGAAATATGAAGAAATGAAAATTTCATTTTTCGTCTCAGAGAAAATATGAACAAAATACATCTGAAATAGTTTCTAAAATGTCTCTAGAAAAGCCTCTAAAAGATTTTTTTCCTCATTTTAAATTAGACTGGAAAAAAGAATTCACACACACACAAAAAAACAAACAAAAAAAAAAAAAAAAGTAGTTTTTAAAGTTTCTAAAGCACAAAGATTCTACAGTCAAAGTTATCAAAAACCATTAAAAAATTAAGTAAATCTGAACACACACAAACCTCCTTTCAGGACTGATCGCTCAGGTAATGCAGAGGATATCTTCCCTACTGTCAATTCTAATAATGGAATGCACACCTACATAAATATTAGTAAAATTATAAAGTTCATACGAATAGCATAAACAGTTTAGAAACTTTAACTCAGTTTGATTACATTAAATTACTTATGTATAATAAAAAAACTGTTAAAATGTATAATAAAAAAATAATATAATTGCTAAATCATCATTATTTTTGCTGATTTACTGATGAACCAACAAATTTATGAATTTTTAAATCAAATATAATCTAACCTAGTTTTGTATTGAAACAGTTCTCTTTTCCTTAGGTACTTTTCTGAATACAGAAAAAATAAAATTTTTCTTCATTTCCAGAGAAAAATATACAAAAGAAGGATTTTTTTCCCCTTCAATTCTTACTTAAGTGCATGGAGATCCATTTTCTCCCAAAAGAGTCTAATTTTCAAGAATTACTCAATCAATCTAAGAAAAATATTTATATTTCACACATATAAGTGTAATTTTGGGTTAAACACACTGTAAATAATATTCCCAATAGACCTCAAGCCACTTCTTGCATAATTAGCTGATTGGTAATGAGGTACAGATAAAAATATTGAGCTCCAGTAGTTCATCTTGTGTCTAGTTCTTTGTACTGATTAAACTGATTCCATAGTACTTCCCCCCATATTTGTATTATGATTATGACTCAGCTTCCTAAGAAATTATTTCATGAAGACATTTTAAAAAGGAAACAAGCTTTTAAATCCTTTGCCAAAATAAATGACCTGACTTACTCTAACCCAGCTTACACAGTTTTTCTGTACCAATTCAGAACTACATTAACTACAGGCCATTTGAAGACAAAATGTTTCTTAAAGCCTATAAAATATCTTACATAAGCTGCATTAAAAGTGCATTTTTTTTATTTCTCCTTACTGGTGCTAAGACTATGTAAATGAAAAGTAAAATATTCTCCTGGATAAATTAGATTTCCTAAAATCAAAATGGAAGATAAAAAGACTTTTAAAAATCAACTGTAGAAATCTCAATGCTCTAATGCAGGGGTCGCCAAAGTGGTCTATATAGACCCCTAGGGGTCTATTGGGACTCGAAGGAAAAACAGTTCTTAATACGCAAATCACACACATCTAACTGCGTACGTAAAAATTTAAAATATTTTTATAATTGACTTAATATTATATTCTTTATAGAAAATAAAATAATAAATCAGAAAACAATCTGCCCCTTTTTTCCTTATGGGTTTTCGTATGTATACCGTGACGTCACAACTTGACCTTGTGACCAGTTTGTAATTTGCACGACTCATAGTATGTAGCCAGAAGAGCGATTGAGGCTTATCCGTGTCTCTTGCTGGCGAACCCATCAACCAATTAGGAGCCTTTGGCGCAGACTTGGCGAGCGACGACACTGCCGTTGGCTTTCTATGCATTAAGCGCGAAGGGAATCTTCAGTACTCTCCGTTTTCTTTCTTCTTATGTGTGTGGTTTTAGTTCTTTTAGTTTTTTCTTTTTTATACGGCAGTTACGCATCGTGTCGTTGGTTCGCCCTTTGTCTCCATCGCAAACCATACGAGCCTTGCATATGAGTCAGATGCATATGTGCGCTTGTCCAATTCTACACTGGATGCTACAAACGCAAATATCATATGCATTTTCAGCTATCTTTGTGAACTGTGAACAGTATTAAATGCTTGTAGTGTCATTATTACTACTATTATATCTATCTACCATTGGATAATGAGTTATTGTTTCTATAAAACTATTCGTTTAGTTTTGATATCAATTTTAATTATTGTTACTTGTGAAAAGGTAAGCTTTAATAATGTGGATTAGTATAATATACCAACTTAATTTTAACTTATTTACAGAACCCTAATTTAAAAATGACAGCTTCAGTATCTAAAAAGAAATGTTGGTATTATTATTCATTGGATTACTTAAAATTTGGATTTATTTGTTCACCGACAAATGAAACTATTCCTATGTGTCTTATATGCGAAAAAACTTTTGGAAATGAATACATGAAACCGTCAAAAATGAAAGATCATCTTGAAAGGCTTCATTCAGATAAAAAAAAAAATGAAGAATTAGAATTTTTCAAAAAACTCAAAGAAAAATTCACATGTCGACCAACTCTAAAAAGTTTTATGAAACAGTCTACTGAAACTGAAAATGAAGGAGGATTAATTGCTTCGTACAAGATTTCGCTTAATATAGCAAAGAGGGGAAAACCCCACACAATCGCAGAAGAAATTGTAGTACCTGCAATTAAAGACGTCATTGAGAATGTGATGAAAAAAGACTCTACTAATGTTTTAAAGTCTTTGCCATTAAGTGCAAATTCTGTAAAACGGCGTATTGACGAAATGGCCGAAGAAATAGAAAACACAGTAGTTTCGGAGCTAAAAAATTGCAAGTTCTCTATACAACTTGATGAATCTGTTTTTGGCGTTTCTGCTATTCTTATGGCGTATGTTAAGATATTTCAGTAAAATTAAAGGAGAAGTCATTGATGAATTTTATTTGCTAAATATCTTGAAACCGATGGGAAGGGAGTGACAATATTTAGATGTTTACAAGAATATTTAAATAAATATGACATTCCGCTTGAAAATATAATAGCAGTAGCCACAGATGGCGCACCTTCTATGGTGGTAGGGGCGTTACCGAGGTTTTGCTACATGCCTCAAAGAAAAAGTGCCCGGTATTCGTACTATTCATTGTGTGTTGCATAGACACAACTTAGTAGCAAAATATCTGAGTTCAGAGTTACATGAAGCTTTACAGTTTTGTATTAAATCTATTAATCAAATTAAAGCTCAACCTCTTAAGATTATTTGCCAAACTTTGTGAGGAAAACAATGAGTTATTTAACCAATTACTTCTGCACACCGAGGTTAGATGGTTGTCTAGAGGTGTATGCTTGCAACGGCTCGTCAATTTTTGACTCCACGACAGAATTTCTGAACGAAATAAATCCTGATTTCTAAGAAATCAACGAATCCTGTTCTAAGCAATGAACTCCAAAACAATAAGAACCATATTTTTTATTTAGCAGACTTATTTGGAAAATTTAATGACGTTCAAACAAAACTGCAAGGAAAAGATGTAACAATTATCCAAGCTCGGACAATACTGTTAGGCTTCCAAGTAAAATTAAATTTATTTAGATCTTCATTGCTACGTAAGGATTATAAGTATTTTTCAAATCTGCAACAATTAAAAATAAAAAGAAGACTTGGAAATATATACAAATCATCTTCAAAAATTAAGCGACGATTTTAAACTGCGCTTTGTTGATTTGGAAAACATCGACATCCCTGATTGGATTATTGCGCCATTTTCGGCGCAAATTGATAACGTCGACATCAACATACAAGATGAGCTTGCTGAACTATTGTCCGATCTTGAAGCAAAAACGCTTATTAAAAATTTGACAATACATAAATTTTGGACTAATATAAATATAAAGCAAAAATATGTGAAACTTTACGAAATGGCTCAGCCATTTATGCTGGCGTTTCCAAGTTCGTATATGGTTGAAGCCGGTTTCAGTCACGTTAATTCAATTTTAACTAAAAACAGAAATAAATTAAATGTGGAGCTTTCGGGATTTACGGATTTACGGTTAAAATTGACTAATTTCGAACCCAATATAGTGAACCTTGCCAGGAAACACCAGGCACACTCATCTCATTAAGAAGTAAAAAATCTGTAGCTACTTTACTTACTGTTTCTGATTTATTAAATATTTAGACTAATATATAGTTTTATTTTAATTACCTGAAAATTACCTTTGTGGGGGTCTATGGAGATTTTGAAAAATTATATAGGGGGTGATGATCAAAAAAGTTTGGCGACCCCTGCTCTAATGACATAAAATGCAATGCATGTTATGACTATTTTCAAAAAGTCATCAGATTTTTCACACAAACAACAATGAGTAAAATAAGAGTGACACATAAAATTCAGGTGTTTTCATAGCAAAAAATGTTTAATCGGTGAAAATGTTTGGAAAGAAAGCAGGTTTGAGAAACAGCTGTTATAAATCTTAATGACACTAACTAAAAATTAAGGCATACAGATCATTCTATTCAAAATAATTAAGCATTTATATTTTGTAGACATTCTCCATATGCTAACCATGCATACATTTGAAACAGTAGAAACTTCTTTCAAGAAAAAATAATTCTATCACTATGTATAAATTGTAAAAATATCACAAAATGAAACTATTTCACTTGGAATTTGATGGAGATACAGTTTAATTCTCATGTTTGATGAAGGGGAGAAAAAGCATGTCTAGCAGCACAATACAGTTTGAATCATTTCCATTGTCTCTGCACTTGGCAAGAAAAATACTTCAGATATCAAAATCTACAGTAATCAATCACAATAAAAATGAAGCTTCTTCCATATCATTACAGAAACAGCAACAATTTGTATTCAGTAGTACACTCTGACAGACCAAGTGCTTTAAACAAAAAATACATATAAATATATAACTCAACCAACAAGCAATAATCATCAAAACAAAAATAATAAAATTCGTTAAAGTTTTACAAAATAGGAAATCGATAATAAAACAAATTCCACATGCCCATATTCGTAGGAGGATTATGTCATTCAAAATTTGATGACTTTAAGTACTGTTGTTTCATCACAATGTGAGAAATATACATACATTTATGCAGTTTTTCATTATTTAATTTTTTTAAATATAACACAGGGCAATAATGCTTTGTGGCAACAATTTGAAAAGTTATTTGCTGTTTATAGTGAACCAATGCAAAATCGCAAAATGAAAACAATAGTCCTTCAAGGACAAAGCTCCTTTGGACTAATAAACAAAGAATCTATCATACATTCCGATTCTTCGAAATCCTTGGTACAACAGAAAAAAAAAAAAAAAAAAAAAAAAAAAAAAGAGCTGGATTTGAATACTTAATTATAAACAAGTTTTACAGACATCTGGTACACAAACTCAAAACACTGTAAGATTGTGAGGAAACACAAGATGAAACCTAATAAAAAGGGGGGATAATAAAAAAGAA